CCCTTACTTTTTACGCTCTACACGAGCGATATACCAAAAGACCCCCACGTCAATCTCGCGCTTTTCGCGGATGACACAGCGCTCTTTTATTCAGACCGCAACCTTAGTCAACTAACCACTCGACTCCAAAGCGCCGCCAACCGCCTCGGCGATTGGTTCCGCAAATGGAGAATTGAAGTAAATCCCGAAAAGAGTGTGGCGATTCACTTCACACGAAGTACTTACCCGTCACATCTTTATAAAGGTCGTCGCCAATGCAGAAAGCTAGGGCAAATATCTCTTTATGGCCAACCGCTCCCCTGGGAGAAAACGGTCAAATATTTAGGAGTCACTTTCGACTCGCGTATGACTTTCACTACGCACATCAATCAAGTCCGAAATAAAGCCGCGTTCGTCTCCGGCCGGCTACACAATTTAACGAATAAGCATAGTAAAATGCCCGTAAGGCACAAACTACTGTTATATAAAGCTTGCGTAAGGCCAATCATGTCCTACGCTTGCATGATCTTCGCACATATAAATCCTACGCGCATCAACGAATTGCAAGTAGTTCAAAGTAAGTTTATCCGCCGCGCAACCGGTGCGCAATGGTATCAGCGCAACGTCGACCTGCACAGCGATTGCAGACTCCCGACGATTCGCGCACATTTTAAAGATTTGACAAAACGGTTCTTCGATAGAGCCCAGCATCATCCCAACCCTCTGGTGGTAAGCGCAGCAAACTACCAACCGGACACAAACGCGAACGTAAACAAGCGTCACCCGCGAAACGTCCTCATCGACCCGGTCGACGAAGAGGACTTAGATACGATGGACCCACCGCCGGGGGTCCCGCCGGATAACACTACACCCACAGTTAGTGTAACAACAATCACACCAGTTCGCTCTCGCCTCCGAGCACGGCGAGACCCACACAACGCGTACACAAGGTACACCCGATACCAGCCCGATTAGCTAAATGCACAGTCGACAGCCGTAGGGGTCTCGGTCCGAACCGGCGACCTCGACGGCCCTTAGATGACACACCATAGTAGTTAAACGCACGCATGAGCACATGCGCGACCCTACCCATAGCGGAGGGTCCAAACCCGTGGGTTCTGGCTAGCCCACCGGTTCTGCGTCCGATGAAGCTTTAATAGTCTCGGGACTGAAAGCAAAAACATCAGTTAATACAAGATACAAGATATAGTAAATTCTATTGAATTAATATAATATGACTTTTGTATTTCTAATGAGATGTTGTCTGGTTTAATTCAATGTAAAACTTCTTTTGTAATGAAAGCAAAACGATAACTTTAATATTATCATCACAAATCAACAAGGAAACATTCTTCATATATACCTATGAAGAATGTTTCCTGAATCATATATAGCAATACATGCGTAAATGAGCAAACGTTTCAGACTTAGGTAAATTGTATATAAATAAACGATGTTCTATTTCTGAAATGAAGCAACGTGAACGTTGCCAAATTGTCTAATATAGTACTGTCTGTTCTGCTCGAATGATATTAATATAAATAATGTATTATACCAAACGATGCAGTATCATAAGAGCAACGATCTTTGCGTCTGATGTTATTTTCCCTCTATCGCTGGGAATTCGATTTCACTATTTATGGTTAACATATTACTACGACAGAAAATTGACCTCAACTAACGAAGCTCACACAGCCCGTCATTATCTTATCCTTTAAACTTTATATATATGTATATAAACATATATTATTTATACTTTATATATGTGTATATATATATATATATATATAATCGGATCCCGGAAACGGCTCCAGCGATTTTCATGAAATTTAGTTTGTGCGTAGATTCGGGGGCGAAAAATCGATCTAGCTAGGTTTCATTTTTAGAAAATGTCCTTTTATCCCTGTTTTCAGGGAATGAAAAATATCATTCGAATATGACGGTAAATTTCGCCGCAAGTGTAGCAATCTTAAGTGCAGAGATTAGCACTATAAAAAACTTTAAAATTTATAAAAAGCAATGGCGACATCTCTCGTTTTAATTATCGTTGTAAAACGATATTCGAAATTGTTTGTATGCTGGAAAGGATATAACAATAGATGCGCCAAGCATTGCTTTAAATGCTAAATAACAATGTAGAAAGAAGGCGTTAAGATTTTCGTCGCTGTGGCTATCAGCCGTTTAGCTCAGTGGCTAGAGCGTCAGGCCGTGAATGCCGAAGACGTGGGTTCGATTCCCACAGCGGCGACAATCTTTTCGTACTTTTTCTACATGTTTTAATGTTCAATCTTAAGTGCAGAGATTAGCACTATAAAAAACTTTAAAATTCAAGATCTTTATTTAATAACTGAATCGTGTCGCGCAAGTCCAATATTTTTCCCTGAACATAAACTTGGAGATCATCAGCATACAGGTAGTAGCGAGAAGATAATCGGAGCGTAATAGAACTAATGAAAATTGAAAAAAGAAGAGGAGACAACACGCCACCTTGTGGTACACCAGCATTGATCGTGCGCCAGTTAGAGAACGAATCAACAATGCGCGTCCGTTGCCGGCGACCAAACAAGTAATTGTGAAACCAGTCAATCACTTCGGGAGATATGTTAAGAGACTGTAAAATTGTTAATAAGAGGTCAAAATCGACATTGTTGAATGCATTGCTAAAGTCAAGTAATGTCAATACTGTAACACATTGGTTATCCATCCCGAGTTGAATGTCTTCAGTAATCTTGACTAAAGCAGTAGTCGTACTATGACCGGCGCGGAAACCGGATTGGAACGGATTAAAAAGATTTCGCTTGGATATGAAGAGGCTTAATTGATTGTGGATAATACGCTCAAAAACTTTTAATAGAAATGGGAGTATGGAAATTGGGCGGTAGTCAGAGAAACTTGAGGGATTAGCTTTTTTAGGTATAGGAATTATTTGAGCTCCTTTCCAGGACGATGGGAAGGTTCCAGATGATATAGAGTAATTAAAGATGGATTTTATTACAGGGGTTAGGATATCGATGATAGGGATGATCATTTTACGACTTATGCAGTCAGTACCTACGGCATCGGAATTGACCTCAACAATACTTTTCTTAACATCACTGTCAGTGATTTGACTAAAAATGAAAGCAGGATAATCTAAGTTGGGAGAAGCTAAAATTTGATTTTTAGTACGTAATTTTGTGGCAATATCAATGTCACAAGAAGAGGAGAAGTGCTGATTAAGCTGGTTTACATCAATATTAATGGAGCTATTATTCTGACGCGCTTTCCCAACTCCAAGAGATTTAAGGAATTTCCATACTCGGCCCGAATCACCTTCTTCGAGTATGGATTTATGAATATGGCGTCGTTGCATATCCCTACACAACCTGTTGCAGTGATTCCGAATAGTTTTGTATTTTTCTCTATTAACATCAGAGTTGTTTTATTTGTATTTAGATTTAGCAATATTTTTCTTACGTTGCATTATTTTGATCTCCTGAGTAAGCCAGGGGGCAGGCAGGTGTTTAAGTCGAACCAGTCGAATTGGTGCATGAAAGTCGTAAAGTTGAGTTACGAGAGAATTGAGACCTCCCACCCTATCGTTAATGTTAGAGGCGGTGTGAACATCATCCCAGTTAATCTTCGCTGCGTCGTCTCTCAGACGATCTAAATCCATACCACTAAAATTACGACGCAGAAGAATTCTCGATTTAGGTTTAGGTGGGCGTAATTTATATGATAAGTAAATCAGGTCGTGGTATGAAAAGACATTAACCATGTTTAGCAGCATAATTAATTGAAGAAACTAACATTATATCTAGGAGAGACGGAGAACAATTTGGAAAATTGTGAGTAGCAGAAAGGGGTAGAATGTGTAAGTTCGCTGCATTAACTATGGATTTCAGTCGAAAAGAGCGGGAGTCATGCTTTAGAAGACATGTATTAAAATCACCCATAATGATAGAGTGCTCATAAAGTGGAATAAATTTGTCTAAGAGGCTTTCGAACGTAGAAAAGTAGTCAATTGTCAGGCTAGGATTATAAAACACGCCAATAAGTAGCTTGGCGCCACAAAAAAGTACTTCAATAAATAGGTGTTCAGCACCTGGAGTACCTTGATCAATTGACATACTAATAGTCATAAATGGTAAGTGAGAACGAAGGTATATGGCAACACCCCCACCCATCCGGGTCACACGGTCATTCCTTATAAGTTGGAAGCCTGGGAGAGCATATGATGCGGAGGATAGGCAAGGTTTAAGCCATGACTCAGAGACCAAAATAGCATGTATGCTTTTGTTATCAAAAGATGAGAGCATATCTGGATAATGTGCAGGAATACTTTGGGCATTAATATGGACAATGTTGAAATTTTTTTGTACATCTGAGAAATGTGAATCTAAAGTCTCATTAAGAGAAGGGAGACTGTAAAAACTGTTACTACTATTCAATCCATCAGAGAATGAAGCTGAAAAGAATGACTCGTCGAGGCTTATGTCATATGACGTTATAAGTTAAAATATAAAATATGAAATAATAATAAAATATACTTAAATAAAAAATAAAAAAATGATCATTATACCCACCAGCAAGAGAAGATAATAATCTACTGCAAATATCAATAATACACAAAAGTTGTCAAAAAGAAATATGAGGCAGAGTAAGATGAGACATAAAATACATGATATCAAAATCTAGTAATAATAAAACAATAATTACTAAAATGTGGGATAGACTCCCGCATATTACAAAAACTTATATCAAAAAGAAAAAACTAATATCTATGGTCACGAATTAAACGTAAATTGTTCTTCGTCTGTGTTCATACGTTTGTTAATGCCATTTTTTATTATACAAAAATGCATCCATCGCGTGTCCAACACTTCGCGATGCCAAAGCGCTTACGAGCTTCCAAGAACACATCATGCCGAGACTTTGTTTAAAACTCCGATTGAGTGATGCCAGTGCCTTTCAATTTAGTTTTTGCGAACCACACCGCATTACGGACTGCATATTCAGCAAACTTTACAACAACAGGCCTAGGTCTGTTCCGATGGGCGGCCGAGACGATAACTTGCCTTTATGCTCGAGCTAGAAAAGTTTGGCAAATCCAAATGATCAGCGAACACTGTTGTGACGCGCGCAGCAAGGTCTTCCGTCTTCACTTCAGGGACGCCGTGTAAGATCCTTCCATCTTCCGCCTGCTTCGCATTTCTTGTCGATCCATCTCTAGCCTGAGGAACTCCATTTGCTGTTGCAAGGTGTTTAATGCAGCCACAATGAATGTTTTAAAACACTCAAAGTCTGCAGCTATCGTCAAAGTAGTCGTTGAGGTCTTACCGGCAGAATTTTTTTGCAAATCCTGCTGAAACTCGTCCATCTTAGCATAAAACATCTCAGACATTGCTGAGAATGATTGTTTCAAGGAAGAATGTAAATTTTTATACAATTTTAAAAAGTTATCCTTTATATGTGTGTTCATTTATTGTCGCGTTGGTAACGACATGCTGTATACAAATAAGCAGCTCTTGCTTGAATATTTACGGGATCCATACGGAAGCTATAGACCCTTTCATTCAAAAACAGATTGGATCAAAAACTACTCATCCATCAATCCCAATGTAATGTTACACATTAAAAACAAAAGACACTATGAATAAAAATGCCTTTGAATATTTTGATGTGTGTTGTGACGTGAATTACCTTAGCTAGATTATAAAGGGGTCCGCGCATCTTTATTCGATCCATTCTGTTTGAGGGTAAGGTAAATGTTAGAGGATAAAGTCTCGCTTACAGACTTATAAGGCTTTCAGGGAATTTATAGCACATGTTCTTTATTTTTATGTTTTAATCATTCATAACGTGAATTCATAACATCACAGACCTCGGACCACCATCGCCTAACCTAATATAAATACTGTAAATGTAAAATACGTGCAAACTCTTTATAAAAGAAATAGTGAGACATTCATAAACAGGTGTTTAACTCTTCAAAAAGTTTTACTATTAACACTGTACGGTCCCGGTTCAAACCCGCATGAATGCCTTAATCATTTTATCTTTTGTACAAATGTTACTGTCCCGCGTTGGGTAACTCGATACATTCAGTTAAGTAAAAGATGTTACAGGTTTTATGTATATTTCAAGTTTCATGGAATGAATGAATTAAGGAATCTTTCTTAAAAGTAATAATAAATAAGTATAATAAGTGATTCTTTTCCTTTTTGTACTAATTTTTTTAAAGAATTCAAATGTAATGTAATTTGCTTGTTATATTTATATACGGCCTTTTAAAATATATAAAAGAACGGAATAATGTCAAAAAGCTTTCAGTAGGGGGCTCTTAGACCAATAGATTTCCACGTAGGATCTTTGTAATTTTGCTGTTCACTTTATGTAAACCAACCAACTTCGAAATTAATAATAACAAAATAACATTACAATTCCCAGTAATAAATTCTTATGCAAATAATTTAGTAATAATTAGGGGAAAAATTAATACACATCCAACTAGCAGCGAGGCTTATACTACAAATAGCGTATTTTTTATAGCTTAGAATTGATTTATTATCCCAATTAATACTAAATACTTATCAAATATTTTTTTTATCATATAAAAATGTAATTATTGACTTTACCACACATTTTTATTATCCATAATCAATGTGGTCTTTCCGTTACAGTGCTGATAGTAAAGGCTAATAAAAGAAGCTTTAAAGAATATACTTATAACATAAGAACGTTAAATGGGTGGTAGAGCCACGCAGCCTCGGCTGTTGCACGAATGGGCAGACCTGTCCGGGTAAGTACCACGACCTCACAGAAGACCGACGTAAAGTGGAAGTATGACAATACTGTCGCGTTTCGTCTGGTGAGTGAGGTAGCCGGAGCCCAATTTTCAAAAAGGTTGTCAACGCATCTGCAAACCCTCGGGTGTAGCAGATGTCTATTGGCGGCGGTATTCACTTAACATCAGGTGAACCGTCTGCTCGTTTGGCAACTTTTTACGTAAAAAAAGTCTATTTCGCGATAACTGACAACAATGATTAATTAAATGTACAGTAAATTATTTCGTTTTAAGAATGTCATTTGTTTTTTATGTAATACTTAAGAACAAATTAAGTTAAATTAGAGCGAAGTTAGGAATGTTTAGTCTACAACAACAGCAGTAAACAACGCTCTATCTCCGAAACGAAGCGCTGCGAATGCTGCCAAATTGCCTGATATGCCTGCTCGAACATCCCCTTTGAATAATACTGTAATAAATTCGTCCAACAGGGTGAAAGCGAAATGTTACTGCGTTTTTTAAATTATTAGTCTGACCACCATTCCGTTACGGTTTTCCCTTTGTGTCTTAAAATTAAACTGATACCAGTGCATTATTTCATTCAAGACTTTCCAGGTACTGTGTACATGTGGGTCGTCGGCTGTGCCAAACCCACCTAGGTGGGATAAGGGCATAGTGATAAATGTGTTCATACTGAATTCCCAAAACTTTAAGGGTAAGTTTTAACACAATAAAGGAGAAAAAAATATCTGTAAAAACATGCGTCATAACATAACTTAAAGTTTCGAAGACAACACTGATCTTCGTATAATAGGTGCACAAAAGTCACCAGTATGATGAATCCTTATATATAACTTAACAGAATTAACTTACTACACTCTACAATCTACTATTTTCTAAAGGTTTTTAGAAACTAAATTGAAAATATGTTGTAAGTTGTCTTTCAAGTTGTTTCTCAAGTAATTTACCATTCTTAATTCACTGAGGGTGAAACATTTGACTATGTTCATACAAAATTATAAAAGTAACTAGTGTTTGGGTTAGAAAATGATGCTTTCCACCCACACAAAACAATCCATTAGTCAAATGCTAGCGGAAAATAATAAATATGTTCTCTATAAGAAGACCCGTTTTTTTTTTTTTACTGTGAGGGGTGCCATTGAATATCCCGTGTGGCTTTGTGTGGCGTGTTATCCATTGCAACCATCATTAAGGCTATATATAAGTTTGTCACCTTACGTGAACGTTAATATTAAAAACAATCACTCTAGTCCAAATCGGAAGATCAACTGGATAAGCCACAACTGCTCCATGTCGAGACTTTTTCATATTCATATTCTTTAAAACAATAGTTTACACCATTTCTGTAAATAATTGTGTTTGAATAAACACATTTTTGAATGTATTTTCGGCTCTAAGTTCGAATCTGCAATTTCTGACTAACGTTAAGCTATTGAAAAACTAAATGAAAAATTTAATATTAGTGCAGATTAGAACTAATAATATAAAAAGAAACCTAAAGAACATTGAATTATGTGTAAATATCCGTTCATTAAATATTTTTTTATAATAATTAATTGATATTACAATACTTTTTATAAGAAACTTATGTACAATAAATTTATTTTGGGGTTTAAATAGAGCAAAACTAATAAAGCCCATTTTTTTCTATAACATTTGCATTCAAGGAAATATAAAAAAAATATATTTTACTTTCCAAATTTTGTATACACGCCCATAGGTGCATATCTATAGCAATACGATAAGATAAAAAAGTTAAAAAGTAAAAAGCATATGTATGTACTACTGTTGAGTTTCTTTCAATGACCTGAGAAGGGCCATCTCAGGTCAGTGAATTTTCTTTTCCTTACCACCGGAGTAGTGTTTTGATAATTAATACGTAAGTTTAATGCTTCCATATTGAATATGGATATTTAAATTTTGAATTTGACTGGGCAGAGGTCTCCTCTAGGGTCAACCTTCCTTGAAAAGAAAAACATTATCATATTTCGCTTTTACTTTAGTGGCTTTAACAAAAAAAAGGAAGGTAGTGAGTAAAGGAACTTTATTAAAATCCCGAAACAATGACTTAACAAAAATAACAGTACACGTTGCATTATTTTAGATTCAATGTAATTCATTCTAAATATATTTATATTTAATGTTATTTATTATTCATAAAACTATAAAATGGCGTTAATTAATATATTACATTATTCTTTCGTTCTCTTACAAAATTACAGCTCTTGAGAATTTTAAAAGATTATTAATTTCAACCGTAAAATCACTTAGTACAAATTAAAGTTTCTATGTCTTCTGTGAAGCTTAATACAAAGGCACACCGTCATGTCTTATCTCGCTCCCCGAACAGGTTTGAGTTCCATTAACTTTCTTAAAGTATTAAGCTTAATTAAGTAGTATTTATGAACCATTGATATATATATACAGCGTGTCGTTACCATCGCGACAATAAATGAACACACGTCTATCGCTACTTGCCAATAATCATAAAAAATATTAACGTTAAACAAAATCCATGATTAAAAAAAATATTTTTCAAACAAACTAATTAAGTAAAAAAGAAACAAAATTTGTAACACCCTATACAACTCGCGCACAGCGTCATATTACAAGCCTCTCCTTCTAACAGTATGTTTTGTCTCTTTTAAATTCATTCAACCCATTCATATGCTTTGTGACCTTTACAAATGAACTTTACGTTACGCTTTTATAGGTAAGGATGTTCTAAAATTCTTTGTTTTGAAAAATTTAATAACTCTGTAAATATTGATGTTTTAAGAATTTAAATGTTTAATACAACTTTAAAAAGTTATCCCCTATATGTGTGTTCATTTATTGTCGCGATGGTAACGACACGCTGTATATATATATGCAACACCCGTAGGGGTGCAGATGCGTTGCGACTTTTTAAAGTGTGCCCCGGCTTCCTCACTCACCAGTCGAAAGTGCAGCGCGTTCGTGGTACAAGCCTGAAACGGTACGAAGATTTCACATAAATAAACACAGAAGAACTTGAACAGAGCTGTCACATTTATCATTTTAATATTTAACTTTGTAATAGACGTCACGGAGTAAACATCGAAATATCCGAATGGAATGAATAAAATGATATGTGGTATACCGCAATGCTGGCTGGATATTACTGCTTAAACGTGAAATATAAAAAGTATATTTCACCGTTATAGATTTAGTAAATTTATTCTTGACTTGCATATGCTTAAAATATAATATATGTTACAGGGGAATTATCACTTAGTCAAATCGCGAAAAACAATACATATAAACTATTTCCTGTGAGAATTAGAGAAACCACTTACATATCTTATTTCATTTATAGTTAATAGTTACACTGTTCTAGGAAGGGAAAATAATCTGGGATTCGAACATCTAAGAACAACATTTACACCCCAAAGGTCGGCAGAGCTTGTATTCATTACCATCATTCGTCCACGGGAATACAAAATGTATACATAAGCGTTACGGTTCATATCAAAACATATTATTTAAGCATCAAAAGAAGAATAATTAATATTCAATCACAATTTTATTTTATTTAGAAAAGTTTTAAATAGTTTATACTTTATTCGCAACGTGTG